TGCTCCCAAGGTCCCAGCAGTTGCCAACCCAGTGTAAGGCATATTAGGCAAAGGCCAACGGAACCCCATGGCTTTCTGCCTCCCTCATTGGCAGTGGTGGTGTCCACCTGGATTGACTGTCTGAGGTTTATCTTCAGGCAGGCTGTTCGAGTAGGAGTTTGATTGATTACCCCTGATGTCGAAGGAACTAAATTGATTGAGAGTAGAGATTGCTCCTTTCTCAGAGATGAGAAGACCTGGTAGTGGCATAATCAGTTTGAGTGGGCACCTCCTACTGGTTGGGCTGAAGCAATGGTTACTATCTCCAGGGGATAGCCCTAGCCATCTCAAAAAAACTCCAACCTTTGGTAGTGGAGGTTACTCTTGTTGATGAGTGTATTAAAGCACCAAGTCTGAAGTATGCTTTTGGCTTGTTTGTCTTGTATTGCTGTGTACACTCCTATCAATGTTTATAAACTCAATGTGAAAGAGGCATTCTATGTCAAACACATATCTCTGGCAGACATTTGCATTATCCTGGGAGAGCTGTTTGTGGTTCAGCTGGCTACAAGATGTCTGTAAGTCCCCATTGTGGGAGCCAATATCAGCAACAAGATTAGCTTCCTCCAAAACTTTGCTAGTTCCCAGAGATTGAGGGTTTCTGGCACTTGTTATCAACATTCCATTCCACATTGCTGGACATGGTATAGTGATATAGGTACTGTGGCCAAGGAGATAGACCACATTCTTGTTAGCATTTGCTGGAAGATCCTCCAGAACTGCAGGTTTACCAAAGTGCTAAGCTCTGTGATACTGACTATAGACAGGTTGTACTTACCCTGCAGGTCCACTACAAAACCTCCTGTCTCTCCAATGTCCACCTCTGAGTGTTTCTCTTGGAAAGATTAATCCATTAACGCTGGTATATTTTGAAGCCAAAAATAAGATTCCAGGCGGCTACAAAATCGGCAGGTGGAGCGTCCCCGGAGTCTGTCCGCACGCAGCCCATTGCTGCATCGGAGTGTGAGCCCCAATATAGCGTCGCACTGGCGGGATGCCCGGCAATGTTAATTTTTTCGGGTGTCTCATATGTTGGACACCCGTCGTGAATGGGTTAAGGGAGGAGTATGTCTGAAGATTAACTGCAACTATCTCTGATCGATTCACGGTACTCAAAACGGACCCAATAGCTTTGTGGTTTCCCTTTGAGTATGAAACATTTGATGCAGTTTAGGAGTCCGTTGCCAAATGCCTTAGATCAAGGCAGATTTTTATCGTGCAGGAGACACTGAAGGCTACAAATGCATGTCGTGTGGCTTGACTGAATGGAAGTTGGGACTTAACTGTTTCTTGGTGCATAGGAGTCAGACTGTGTAGAGGAGGGACAAAAACAGTACATCAGGAATCTTGCTGAGGTAGTCAAAGATAGATCTTGATAGATGACCTTTGTCCTGTCTACTAAACCCTGAGAAAACAACTCCAAGCCCCCCTCACAGATAACTGCAGTGTGGATGGACAGATCATCTCAGACCATGTTGGAATTTGTGAATATTGGTCTGATTATATTCAGCAGCTGTGTCAGGGAGACCCTCCAGTTGTTTGGACATGAGGTGTCACAGTCCCTATGAGAAATTCAACCATCAGGAAAGGACCTCATACCCTGACTGAGGTTAGAGAGGCAATTTCTAAGCTGTAGGGAGGAAAAACTGAAGGCATATGTGTTATCTAGGGAAGTAGCTTTTTGGGGGATGGGGAGCTAACCTCCCCGATTGTGAAAAAACTCTACATTGTAGGGCAAAACTGAAAAAAGATACATACTCCTTTTTGCAAGGCAGGGCAGGGCAGATAGAATATCAAATGTTAAAATAAAACTTTATAAAGTTAACCCAATCATGCAGGGTGTCATATATGAGACACCCGAAAAAATAAACATTGCTGGGCGTCCCGCCAGTGTGACGCTGTATTGGGGCTGCATTCTGACGCAGCAGCGGTGCGCGGCCGGCGGGCAGACAGACTCCGGGGAAGCTCCGCCTGCCGATTTTGTAGCCACCCGGGATTTTTTTTATTTTGGTTACAAAATGTACCTGGCGTGAGTGGGTTAATGACTAAAAAGTTTTGTCCATCAGTTTTTATTAGAAAGACAGTGTTAAATAGATCATGGCTATGGGAAATTTAGAACTTGATTTAGTACAATAATTGGCTGGGTGGATATGTTTCAACAGGGCAGAAAAATTTATGCGTGTTGAACTGCTACAGACTGGTAATGAACCCAATGGAATTGGTTACTGCAGTCAGTGAGCATATATTGGTATTGAGACTGAAGTTTACTTTTGGCTTCATTTTTCTTATTGCTGTGTACCCTTCTACTGATGTTTGTAAACTCGGCGTGAAAGAGAGGTTTTACTCCAAAGTTGCATCTATGATGGACAGTTGTCCTTGGCGAGATATTTGTATTATTCTGGGTGACTTCAGTGCAGTAACTGGCTGTGATCGAGCTGGCTAATAAAAGTCTGTCACACCCCTTGGTTTGAGAACTGATGCCGGCAGTGAGAATAGCCTCCTTTTTTCTAGAAATTGAGGATTTCTGGCTCTTGGTACCAACACTCCGACCTACTTTGTTGGACGTGGTACAGCAATGTGGGTAATGCAGCTAAGGATATTGACCACATTCTCATTGGAGGATCCTCCAGAACTGCAGATTGTATAGCAGTGCTGAGTTCTGTGGTTGTGGCTACCCTCCAAGTCCACTTCAGAATTCCATATCATTCCAATGACCATCCTATGGTGTTTCATATGGATAGTTTGAGGATGGGGGAGTGTACCTTGGGGTTTGCCGAGGCAATATCTGGTCATTTCGCAATGTTTGACAACCTGACGGACCCCTGTACTTTTATGTACCTTGAAGCATGAAACACTTGATGCAGCTCAAGAATCAATTGGTGAATGCCCAAGAGCAAGACAGAATTTCAGTTCACAGGAGACACTGGAAACTACAGAAGGTTGTTGTGTAGCTCATCTGACAGGGGATCTGGATTTGCATTGACTTGGTTACTACTGAGAAAGGTACAAGAACAGTTTCTTAGGAGTCTTGCAGGGGAGGTTGAAAGCTATTTTTTAGTAAATGACCTTCATTCTGTATACAAAGTTTTCCTCACAGGCAACTGGAATCCATACAGTAAGTGGTCAGATTGTCTCAGATCCTGTTGGGGTTGCAGGAGCATTGGGCTAAGTATTTTGAGCAGTTGTACCAGGTTGACCCATGAACAGTTAATTTGGATGCAGATAGCGTTGAGATTCCTTTGCCAGACCCACTCTTCAGCAAGGATCCACCCTCCCTAACTGTAGTTAAGGGGTGATCTCCAAACTGAAGAGTGGCAAAGCAGCTGGTATCTGCGGCATTCCAGCTGGTGGTGAACTTATAGCACAGGGTTTTCATACTGTCCTGGATGCCATCTGGCAGTCTGGTACCTTTCCCCCTGACCTGTTGAGGGGTGTGGTCATCCCTCTTTAGAAGAGGAAAGGGGATCAGTGGGACTGTAGCAATCACAGAGGCATTACACTGCTCAGTATACCAGGCAAGGTTCTTGCTCACATCCTTCAGAGACCATCTGCTGAGGCACCAGAGGCCAGAGCAATGTGGATTCACTCCTGACAAGACCTCAATAGGCTGGTACTTTGTGTCATTGTAGAGTGCCATCCTGAGTTCAGGCATGGGCTTCTCACTGCTTACTTCGACCTTAACCCATGTACGATGGGTGTCCCACATATGAGACTCCCGAAAAAAAAATTGTCGGGCGTCCTGCCAGTGTGACACTGTATCGGGGCTCGCGCACTGATTTTGTAGCTGCCCAGAAACTTTTATTTTCAGCTTCAAAATATACTGGCAATAGTGGCTTAAGAAGGTGTTTGATATGGTCCATCGGCATTTACTCTGGAAGATCCTGAAATGAGCGGTATTCCTACAATTGTTATTGGATTCATAGCAAGTAAAATGTAGAGGGGGCAGGGGCCTCTCAAGCTTCTCTCCTGTTAGTTCAGTAGTGAGGCAAGGCTGTGTCCTTGAACCAACGCTTTCAACTGCTTGGAAACTAGGGTGAGCTAACTTGACCAGAGGCAACTCTTGGCTGTCTGACCAAGAAGTCAGCATGAACTCTCTGATGAAAGTATTTGGAGATGCCGTTAACTGTGCAGAAGGACCAAGCTGCATGTTTTCAAGGGTCTGATAATAACAGTTTTATTATATAATAGTGAAATCTGTACAATATACTGCGCCTTAGAACTTCGTCTTGATACTTTTTGTAATAGATCCTTGTGCCGGATCATGGGATACAATTGGAGGGACCACATGTCCAACCAATAGTTACACTGTGTGACTGGCACAGGACTGGTTACTTGCACAGTTTGTGATCACCAACTTAGGCTATATGGGCAGCTGCCCACTAGGTTGCCTCTATGCAAAATAACCCTGGATGGAGGAGGCCTGTGGGACGACCTAGGAAGTCATGGCTTGGGCAGATTGAACAAACTTGTTGTGAAGAGCTTGAGCTAAGTTTAGTCATTGCCTTGTAGCTCTCTATGAACGACCCTCATAGATGAAAACAAAGGATGGATGCGGTTATGCACCCCACCGGTGTTAGCTCCCCAATGATGATGATGGGACTGCCATTTAGCAGTTGAGTATCATTTCCCTGGACCTGTTGAGGGGGTGGTTACCCCTCTTGGAATGTGGAAAAGGGATTGTTGGGACTGTATGGCATCATACTACTCAGCATTGATTAATTATTGTTATTGTTATCAATATTGTTATTTTGTTATTGTTATTGGTATTGGTATTGGTATTTTATGATTTTATTTTTTTCTTCTTTTCTTGTTTTTATGTATCTGTGTTTCTATGTTCATGAGTTTTTTCCAGTGCAGATATATAGAAAAGAGAAAGATTTGCAGAAAGCTTGCTTTGACTACTTTAGACCTCAATTCAATGTATAATGAATGAAGACTTCACATCTAAAATTCACTTTCAGGTAAAGGACCAAAGGGGACTTATGGTGGCCTCTTCCTTGACCCTAAGGGCTTATTGCTTGCCACCAGACAAGAGCGAAATAACTCCTGCATCCAGGTATTTGACTACATTCTTGGAACTTTAATATTTACAATAGACTCTAGAGAAGCAAAATTAAAACGGCCATCAGGATTAGCCACGACTCAGGATGGTTATGTGATAATTGTTGACCTTGGCAATGATTGTGTCAAGAAATTCCGGTACATGTAGAAATGGATTTGTAATACATTGGATACATGTATTTAAAATGAATTAACTGTCTATGTTTTTTGTTTTAAAAATGTTAATGATAACTTTCCATGTAAAGAATTAATTGAAAGATAAGTTAACTTATTAACTCCGAAACAATGAGATTTAGTGAGGATTATCTTGGCAAGAGTTGGATTTCATAGATTTTATTGATGAAGATGTTGTTTTGTGATATTTACTTTATTTCCTCATTTGGTTGGTACTGAATCATAATTTCATCATAAAATTACCTGCTGTAATCAAGAATTGATGATGATAGAGATTGAGATGGTAGTAGTCATATCATTCATTCTTATTTTTGTATTAAGTGACATTGTCGTAATTGACATTGTTACCTTTTGTTATAGAAACTTGACCCACTTATCACATTCACAGATTTAAATTTTGTTCATGCTTCTGATACTTACACATTTTATTTATAATAAACTAAAATTCAAAAGTACTTACAAGCTTTAGGAATTTGTGTTGACAGAAAGTACTTAATATTTATCACTGTACTTATGTATATCAAGCCAAGGTTGTGGACCAACAAAGCATAGTTTTTTTTTTCTTTCTTTTATCTTTTCTTTTCTTTTCTTTTTTTAAGTCATTGGAAACTAGAATGTAGAAAAAGGACTCGTAAGCTACTGAAAGTGCAAAGGGATCATTACCCTCTTTTTAATTTGTGTATGTACTTAGGGTTTCTTACATGTACAGGGATATGAACAGAAATCTTTTTCAGATATCCAGCAAGATTTTGTAGTTAATTTTGAATGAGAATTTTCTGTACAGTGGTCATCAGAACACACACTAGATACTCTGTATTATATTTTACATTTTTGTTATACATAATGTTTCATATAATACCCACATATATGCATATTTATACACATGCAGACATTGAACAATATGATCAATGAAATATTGGTGTTGAATCCCCTCTGCATGGGCTAGAGGTAATTGTACGACACTCACAGATGGACATATTCTAAAAAAAAAAAGATTAAAAAAGCCTTATCCAAATAATAATGGTCCAGTAAAAAATATATAAAATTTATGAACTTTTTTAGAATTGAGTTTCCAGGTGACTGTTAGTGGTCACAAAAATGTCAGCAGACATGCTAACTCATTCCATAAAAATGTCAGCAGACACACTAACTCATTCCTGAGCACTAAGTGTGGTTGACAAGCAAGAGATAAGGTATGGCAGAGAGTACCCATAAACACTATCTGACAATTTTTTCCCAGGTCCCAATTCAAATATGTCCAGGAAACTGCAAAATGTTTTAAAATGAGATTCATCTTTGCCTACATGCTTTTTTAAAAATGTAACCTGTCCATGAGGGATTTATAGATGCCACTTACATAGCTATATTGTAATGCTGGTTTAAGAGAGACCAATTTCAGAGACCAATTTCATATGAAAGACCAATTTTATTGAGAGTAAGGCAGTTCCATATTATCTATCTAAAGAACACTTAAACATCAAATAGTAAAATCAACATTTCCCTGAAATATAGAAAGCTTTTAAATAAACTAACATTTGCTGAAGGGCTTTTACTTTTATTTTACATGTTTGGCATCTTACCATTTTGTTTGGAGCTAAATCTTGGTAGTGGGGAAGAAAGTTGGCTATTTGTTTGATAATCCATTTAAAGAAGTTCCCTTTTAGAGTGGCATTAGTTAGTAAATTATGACTGTCAGTAGAAATAGGAAATGAAATTGTTCTGGGAGAACATCTTTAATATCTCAGGTTTAATATTATGCATATCAAGGTTGCCCATTGCAAAGAAAGCCTGTTGTGCTTTCTTTGTTGTTAAACACAGAAGCCTATGATCAAATATAAGGTATGTAGGATTTTAATACCTTTTTTCTCTAGAGTCAGATCTCCTTGTATTCATGTTTTTAATGCTTTCAGGAAAGAAAGACTAAGTCTTACATAAATGGGCAGTTTTCCCAAATTCCTAGAAAATTCCTAGTGTATGTAAACTAGATGAAGTGTTCACATTGTGAGTAGACCACCTACAGAATTTCTATCCAATATCTCACCATTATTCACATGTTCCCAAGATTGTACTTATAGAACGGTCATGGCATGGTGTATTCCATTAACCCATTGATTGCGGTATTATGCAATATGGCGCGTAATCCCCTAATTTTCATTATTTTCAACTTGGGTGGCGTATGGGACCGCACTTGAGGCGCGCAGTGGTGCTGCCTTCCCTCTTTCGCGCAAATATTTTGTTTACTTATATCTGCGAAAAAATATGTATGCAAAAATTTGCAAAAACCCTTGCAAATACATGCAAACATGCAAAAATATGTAAATGCGCTCAGAAAGAGCGGCAGGTGTGGTTTTAGCACGCGCAATAGGCGAACAACTCATTTGGCGGTAAACAGCCCATCGCACACGCGGGCCCGGGGGTGATGGGCCTGGGCCCTGTAAGGCTGCCGGCTTGGCGGCTGATATTCCTTGGCCCACTCAGCTCCCATGCCGCGCGGCCGCCCGCTGCTCGAAGGGGATCAGCTTTTAATTGCACGGTGCATCATATGATGCCATCCGCAGCCAGTGGGTTAAGGTGATAAAGCTGTGTGGATGATAATGAATACAGCTCAAGCTAGCACTGAAGCACTGTTACTTCTGTTTTAGATAACAGCTGCCTTGGCATTCCTATGTTCTATTGTTTAGTCATTACATTACTAGTATTCTTAGGTCTTTCATTTAATTAATTCTGTAATAAAACTACTGTGGGTTTTCTTTTTATATTTAAGTACTTTGATCTCATGAATGCTTTAGCAACCTGAGAGAAGTCTTTGTGGTAAAAGGTAAGCATTGCTATTCTTTAACACTTCAACTTCTGGGTTTTCTATCCGCCAGATACACATTTCAGAAGGAAATGTAATTCTGAATGCTAGTTTTTATGTAGTTGCTTTTGAGTATATTTGGCCACTCTTTTAGAAAATTATCATGTGTTGAAAGAGTTTGCATATTTTGCTTTTGCCACATTATACTGGAGTACAAATGTACTGTAAGTTAAGTACTAGTTTTACTAGTACTTAAATGTAAACTTGCCCTTTGGGTACCCTTTGTGTTTGCATATTCCATAGCTATGATTTATTATAGCCACTATAAAAATCACTCTAAAAATCAGAGAAAAGAAATTGCATTCTATCAAGATATATCCAGAGATTACAGTTTTTGTCATTGAACTTGTCATAGTCATCAAAATTATGAAAAATTATTTGGTTACATATATAATCATGCTATAATTGAGGAAGACAGCCACTTTGAAATGACACAGATAAATGCTTTCTTTACGTATCCAAAGTAGAAAGGGCACTGAAAGATAAGTTAAGAAGAAAGAAAATTATAGTTTATAAATATTGAACCATTTGTCACAAGTTACAGTCTTCCTTGATTGACTTTCCCTTAAAATGTGTTTAAAGAAGAAAAAAAAAAAAAAATACAAGATGGTTAGTATTACAGCAACATTCCTCAGCCAGTGGGATGTAAAATATAATTTTGAAACTATTATTGACAGGCCATAAAAGAATTGCCTCGCTCTATCTTTTCTACTTATTGATCATATACAACTAGTTAGATGAAAGTGTAAATGAATTGGAATTCAGCCAAAGTCTAGGGAAGTTTAGGGTATTGCTTATATAGGCATTTTTTGCCTGGGTTTTATGACTAAATAGCTGGTTAGATATTCTTATGGTATGGACTTGTCTTAAATATGCAATTAGTTTTGTGTATCTACATTGTAATTTTTGGTGACCAAATGAGTTTGTTTCACATACAAGATACAGTAGTAATACTGATTCCAAAAAGTCAGTAATACATGTTCCTCAATTATGTCCCAGGCATAATGGATGATGCACGTCCTTTCACCCTTTATGGACTCGTTGCCACCTGTTCCACACACACAATCATTAATGAGAATTAAAGGATCTAGATTTACATCCTGTTGACCATAGAGACAAAATATGTAATGATACTATCTACAATTGATGCTAAATAATAACAAGTAAGATAAGTGAAAATGAGAGCTAGTATGCAGGTATATTTGTAAGTATTCATGTTTATAGGTGTGCGTTTGTGCGCATGTGTGTTTGTGCGTGTGTGTGTGTGTGGATGTGCATGTGTGTGGTGTGGTGTGTGTGTGTGTGTGTGTGTGTGTGTGTGTGTGTGTGTGTGTGTGTGTGTGTGTGTGTGTGTGTGTGTGTGTGTGTGTGTGCATGTGCATGTGCATGTGTGTGTGTGTGTGTTTGTGTGGATGTGCATTGTGTGTGTGTGTGTGTGTGTGTGTGCATGTGCGTGTGTGTGTGTGTGTGGATGTGTGTGTGTGTGTGTGTGTGTGTGTGTGTGTGTGTGTGTGTGTGTGTGTGTGTGTGTGTGTGTGTGTGTGTGTGTGTGTGTGTGTGTGTGTGTGTGCATGTGCGTGTGTGTGTCTGCGTATGCATGCTCTTCTGTGTTTGTGCGGAAAGTGTGTGTGTGTGGTGTGTGTGCATGTGTGTGTATGCGTGTGTATGGGTGTGTCTGTGTGGATGCGCCTGTATGCGTTTGTGTGCGTGTGCTTGTTTGTGTGTTCTTACCTAATTGTTTCAATATGGGAGAACTAAGCTCAGGTGGTCCCGTCTGCTAATTTATTGTATGTAATATAGATAGATAGATAGATAGATAGATAGAGAGATAGAGAGATAGAGAGATAGATAGAGAGATAGAGAGAGATA